TCTCTCATAACTTCTAATAAACCGACCTAATAACAAAAAATAGAAAGTTTTTAGCATTTTTAGATATTACTGAAGAAACTTGTATTATATTATATGGTTTACGAAAACAAATCAGAAATAAACCAATGTGATTATAAAAAAATGGTTTAACGATTAATTAAACAACAATTTAAAGCAATGATTAATTGATTGAAAAACAACATTATTTTTCACGAATAAATATAACAACTTGTTCTCTCTCGGTTTTGTCGTTAAAGAAAAATAATATTTAAATATAATTTACACTCCCAGCAGTTTCCCTAACACGGTGATCTCTTTTAACAGCTTGCATGGCATTCCGAAAAATACCATCGACTTGAACAAATAGTACATTTTCTTCGGGTAATTGGGCAACAATATCTTTGCTCGAAAATATTGGTAACAAGTACATCCATTGTACTTGAACCTATAATTGTTACAAATATTAAAGACGCATATTAAAAATTTATAATCAATAATGAACAAACCTTTGTCCATTCTTCGATAGTATCCTGTATACGAAGTAATTTATGATAAAACTCATCCACTTCCTTTTTAATTTGTTTTACAAACGCTGAACCACGCATGGTTTGTATTTTTACAATGTGTTCTTCTAGGAGTGTTTGTATGTCATCTAACTGGGTCAATATTTCAACTCCAGAATCTTTATACAGCATTGTTTCGAAAAAAACGTCGTCCCATTCTTTTAATATTTTCTGAAAAGTTTGCTCGAGACCCAATTCTTTCGATGCACTGATGCTTATTAACTCGTATCTTAAATTAAATCAAATTTAAATTATTATTTTACAAATTTTCCCCTAAAAAAAAAAATATTACTTATATATTAAATATATTAATTACTAATTAAAGTCTCTTATATATAAACATTGATATGATAAATAAATATAATTGATTGTGAAATAATTAATTATTAATAATAAATATTACTTTTCTAAGTCTTCTAACAAATCCATGAATATCATTTTTCGTAAAGTTGTCCCAGCATTTGGTGTAAGATCAAAACCTGCGATGATTGACATTTCATCCCAATGATGTTGTCGAAGCGCGGGATTACAGAAAACTGTCACAAGCGGAACGTATACCTAAGAATATTATTTATTTTATTTAATGTGTGATAATTGAGATAGTATCATAATATCATTATATATATTTTTATTTTTAATTACTTTGAACCATTTGATATTTTCGATAATTTGATACGCAAGTTTTATAGGAGCAGGTTGTTGAAAAGGATCTGGATCATCGATCAAACCTGTAAAACTGATACACCAATTAAAATGTTAAACAAATCTCGAAATTTGGCAAAACTATTATATATAAAAAAAAAAGCAAGTGATAAAAGAAAAACCTATAAGGATAATTCGTCGCTAATTGTAATTTGATTCTCGTTCTGTATTGTTTGCTCATTTTGATAAAGTTAGTAAAGAACTCGTTACATTTGGCATCGATTTCATATCCATCGAGATATTCGAAGGGTCCATCCAAACATACATCCCGAAATCTTTGCCATTTGCAGGCTTGATAAATCATCTCGTAAAAAGGCATTATAATGTCCTTTAATTCGTTAATTAAGGGATATTCAGAAAGTGGAAAATTAAAAAGAGCTTCTTCGCCGTTAATCCATTCTGCTTGTTCATCCATTCGATCCAAACCTCTCATCAATTTTCTTAAATCTTCAATATAATCTATAACGCGTTTAGCGTCATCCATATCGTTCATGATCGTTAATCTACAAGTGACTGTGTTAAATGTGATTGAATCATACTAAACGTGTAAAAAAAAAAAAAAAAGAAAAAAAAAGAAACAGAATTTTTACCTAGGAAACATTTTTTCAACTTTCGTATTCAAGGCCAACACTTTACTTTGCAAATTCTCCTCCAATTCGAATTTCATTTGTTCGTACATACTGCTACTCTGTTCAAAAATTGGTCTTATTCGTTTCAACCAATTGACAGTGATATTGTTTAAATCAACATGATCCACACTCAAACTCGTCATTCCGATCAAGGATGCCATCATGTTTAATGATAATGTAATCCTATCGTTCATCTCTTCCATCGTTGTACTTGCGGCTACTAACATGTATTTACCTATATGACACAAAAATAATTATATATATATAAATTAAATGATAATAAAAAATCTTTTAGGGCCCCATAATACTCGATAAAAATGACGAACCTAATTCGAGAAGTTCTCTCGTTGTTTCAGGTACATTTAGTGCCTTTTCCTTCACTGTTTCGAACACGTTACATATTTCGAGATTATAATTTCTATGACGTTTTACCAATTCGCCGATAATTAATTCACGACCAGATTGAGTATAAGACATAAGTGCAATTTTGCCGTCTGTTTGATGTAATGTTGCCATAAAAAAATATTCGATATTAGGCTAAAAATATGAATTACGATCTCTCCAATGAATCTTGCTTATATTGAATAAACATAAATACCGAGATATGTAGGGTGTCCCACATAAAGTGTTAATAATTGTTTTTCTTTTCTTTTTTTTTTTCTTCTAAAATTTAATCTCTATAAACATTTTTAGAAAATTCCAAAAATCTCTTTTAATATAGAACAATATATATATATAAATTTTATTATATTATTTTTCGATGAAAAAACAATTCGTAACACAATATTTTATTACATGGGGCATCCTGTGTTCATCTTTACGTACCAACCCATTAATTTCTCTAACTAAACGATTAAAATCTTCAACTCTCTCAACGCATTCCTCGAAAGTATGTCCTTCAGCAACGTAAGCAATTATTTTTCTTCGAGTTTCAATATCATAAGCAACGCCAAACTGTTCACGCAATTGTTCGATGTAATCGATAACAGGTTGAAATAAATTTATCAGTATTTTTTCGAGTCTTTCATGCACTTCATCCAAGTACCACTTTGGTAACGTGACCGAGATCACTTTGTGAGTAGTTTTCATACCGATCCAAGACTCCAAAGTTGGTAATTCTTGTGCAGCATTAGCAATTTCGTCGATAATAAATTGAAATGATTGATAAATTTCACTGAGCAACGGGTAGGCAAATAATTCGTTGTTTTCGCATTTTAATTCCAGCTATCGGTCGGAAAATATTTCAAATATTTTCGAAATTAAACATTAAGAGAAACAATGTACTATTACGATTACTTATACCTTTAATAAAGGTGCTGTAAAACAATTGTTCAATACTGTTAGCCATTCCTCTATGGTATTCATCATGCAAGCCATTATTTGAAGTGATAGTAAATTTGTAGCACATCGAAAAAAATCATTAATCATGGCCAATGGAACGTCGTAAAGGTGACGTGATTGGGAAAGGTTTCTAATCACGCTACCGTAATACGAACCAGTTATAAGAAGAGCACCTCTCTTTAAATCTGCATCCAACAAATCCAAAAGTCTGTTGTAATACGAAACAAAAATAATAATTGGTTTGATAAATAAGAAAATGTTGAAACTTTCAGTATTTTATATCTAAATAATCAACATTAATTTATTACAAAAAAACCCCCCTGCGACTCTATTAATATTAAAGCCGTTTAAAAAATTTGCTACTAATATCAATAAAATTGAAATTTTTGAGTGAACTTTATTCTATACTGTTAAATAAAAATATTTAAATTTTCAACAATAACGTAATAGCCGATTTAATAGATAAAAAGTAGTAGAAGAAAAAATCACGATAGAATACCTGTTTAAATCAAGAGTACCGATCGTTCTATAACGTCGAAAATCGCATATAGAATTACCACCGAACACCATGTGAGCTTTAGCCACTATAATTCTCATGAATTTGTGAGGAAAATAATATCTCTTAGCAAAGTTGTAACGACGTTTTTGATAAATAGTAGAAAATTCTGGTGGATCGAGAAGTTTAAATGGTGTTGAAAGCGTATAATCCAAAATATTACAAGATTCTTGACATTCTGTAGCGATCACGGAATTAACAGACATATTGTGTATGGCTCGATAATATTGATTCTTCACTTCTTTCATGTCTTCTTCGAAAATGTCTTTATATTTTTCTTGAAGTTTAGATGTTACCAACATTCTTATACGTTTCTCCCAATCCTATAAATTTTAATAACTTCGATGTTGAATAACAGGTGATTTATTTATTAAATATAGAACAAATTTAATTAAAAATATATATTTTAAAGATAAAATTTTGTTTGACTAACATCTAGGAGACCATGCGTAGGCATTTTTTCGGCATATTGTTTCATTTTCACGAAACATTTATTTTCTGATACGCCTAAATCGCATTCTTTTATTATAATAGGACGAAATGCTAGGATATCATCGTAACGAAAAATCTTTGCCTTCTTGGAGGCTTCCTCGATCACATCTTGAACTTTTCTCGTGGCAATCTTGGAAAATAATTAAATTTAATTTATTTTAATTAACACACACAATGTGGTCTCATAATTAATTGGATTTAATTAACTCATGATCGTATAAGTTAAATGATTGATATAATATGTGTGCGAGTTCTTTATTATTGATGATTATATCATGTATTTGATCAAACCTTATCTAATTTCAACATAGATAATGGATTTTCTTTTCTATCATCTTCTTTAAATTCTAAAACGTTTGTGATCTCCGATAATTTTGGTATTTCCATTTTCTTGTCTATTAGATCGTAAAATTCTGTCGTAATGTTAGACATGGCTCTTAATAAAAACTCTACATATAATAAATGTTAATTTTTATTATTTTTAATTATAAGCTATCAACATTTCCTTAATGAGAAAATACATATAACCGCAATATTTAACATTCATCAGTATATCTATCCCTTGAAATTAGTAGCAACTTTTTGACTCTGAATATTTACGATTATCAATATTCCGAGTACAATTACATACATACGTCATAAAATATGATATACATACAGGAGTCGCTACATTTTAATTTGTAAACAATATATTCGATATAATATTAATTTCTAATCATTTTTGTAAGCAATTTTTACAATATTATTTTTAAATTGCTGATACCATCAACGTGATACCACAAACTTCAATTTGATGTATCAATGAATAAAAAATTAATTTTTATTTAAATAAAATTCGAAGTATTTTAACAAGATCTTCTCTCTCATACTTATATTATTTAATATCTATAACCATCATCCCCGCCAGCACCAGCAGATGGTGACGGTGCTGGATAAGTTGCTGTTCCTTCGTATCGTACATTTGGTCGATAACCAGCGTTATCAGCAACGTAATCAACTATTTGTGTTCTACCATCGGGAAGAAGAACGTGATATGTACCAGTTGCTTCCTGATCCTTTCGATTTTCACGATGACCAAAATCTAAACCAGCAACAGCATCCTGCACTTCATACGAAAACTCGTAATTTGCTGGATCCTAAAAAAAGCCGTAAAAAAACAATTGAGAATTTTAATGAAAAAAATATACGAAAATTTCAATGAACGATTAAATTAAATTGGATTAAAAATTGTTAATTTTTTAGTGTAATAATATATGTGAGATTTTTTGTATTGATAATTTTAATTTATTATTGCGAGATGAAACATTTGAGGAATTATTTGATCCTAGATTAACAGGAAAACTGACTAAAATATTATATTTAAAGAATTATCAAATTTTTTGACTAAAATTGTATACAAAAAGTAATTATAATTAAGTAGAAAATAATATCATTTGTTTTGAAAAAGAAAAATTGTACGAATTATAATTGATAAATGATCCTACCCCAGCCCATTCATCTGGATGTCCTGTTCCGCCAGGTGTACCAGGAGGACGAGATACGCTGGGAGGAAGATAAGAAGGTCCTTGAGGTTCACCTCGAATTCCTATCAGCATCATTGCTAATAATAATACCTATGATACAAGGAACAATTTCAGAAACGTACACACACGATTATAAATTTATTAAATTATTCGCCGAAAAAAGGCACAATTTAATAACAACAACAAAATGTTTAACACTCCGACGTAAGGAATTTTTTTTTTATTCGTAATAATATCTACACAAACCTTTCGAATCATTGGCAGATCGTCCTAATCCTCTAGTGTTCAAAACTAAAATAACTCGACGTTACAGCATCGCCGGGTTTTATACACCACGTTCCCGATTGCATCTTTTAAAAGTAGAAATGGAAGCACGGTTATTGTGGAAGCTTTAATGCGAGCGCATAACCGTAATTATAGTTAATAATAAAACCGCAGATTTCTGACCGCATAGCTGCAATCATTTATTCGTTGTATTCACAGTAGTTCCTGATACTTTGTAATATTTATCGTCTATTCTTTTACGTTGCTTTAATCGCGCTAATCAAGGCTTCTTCGTAATTTGCATTGCGCCTATCGAATTTTTATACTTAGAAATCTACAAATTATTCTTATTTTTTTTTATTGTTATCTTTCCGCAATCGTAACGTTTTTGCATAAGCTTTAATCCAATGATTTAAAAATATTCGTAATATAAAACAATATTAATCTATTTCATTCGTGTAACTATTTATAATTATAAATACGTGTATATGTCATATGAAAACAATATATTAAAAGATTGCAAAATTTTGTTTATACATAGCTGTATGTAATATTGTCTTTCTTTAGTTCCTTATATAAAAACGTATGTTTAGAGTTAAACAGGGTAATTGATTGATATACGAGTACATAGCGAAAAGATCTTATTTTATTAAGAGTTAAAAATATTTATTCATTTTCTTCAGAACGCAGGCGTGCGTTGGCATTCGTGACACGAATCGAAAGTTGTTGGGCACGTTCGACAATAGCCTTGCGTTTTTTACTGCTAACAGCATGGGCAATTTCAGCACAGAATTTGCGATTTTGCATCATCAGTACTTCTAACTCCTAAAAAATATTTTCAAAATGTCCCATCGGTCAGAAAAGTGTATGCATTTTTATTATTAAAAAACATTTGTATCATATAAAATTATTTTGTTTGCTCATGAAATGCAGTTTAAAGTCATCGATATAAAAATTTCACATTTTATAATTTTTTATCTTATATTTACCTTGACATTATGTACAAGAACTTTACGAAAACCTGTTGGAAGCATATGACGAGTCTTCTTGTTGCTTCCGTAACCAATATTGGGCATTAAATATTGGCCCTTAAAACGCCTACGAACTCTGTTATCAATACCCTTGGGTTTACGCCAGTTACGCTACAAAAAAACATTTATCATTAAACTTCTATAACCAAATACTTTTATTCTATATTGTAATTTTTTTTATTTATAATTATTTATTATTAAATGTATAACACAAATAAACAGTATAATTATCATTGAAATTATTTCTATTAGGCAATAATTCTAGCCTAAGAAACAAATTGAAATACTTCTGAAACGGAAATGTTATTGAATTGTTCAGACATATTAAATATCATTCATTGTAAATTATTAACTATATAATTTCCGAAATATTAATGTCTATAGTACCTTCAATTTATCATATCGGTCACTTTGATGCCTAATGAACTTTTTTGTCCTCTTTTTGACAATCGTCGGCCTATAGTTTGGTCTGATAGACATGATTACTTCCTTTACGAATTACTGAAACCCAAAAAGAAGATGAGAGATGCAAACCTTAAAAGGCACATCGTGCTCACGTGCTAAATAAATTTGAAGTATTTTTCATTATCTAAGGATTAAATTATGTTTGCATTAATAAATTCTATATAACGTATAGTTGAAAATATACAATACATCATTAAAATACATAGATTTAATTTATTTTCTTAATATAATAATTATGAACACGTGTTAGATTACATACCGTTCTCTCACAAATCGTAAAAAGAAAAGGTTATGTTTGTTCCCCGTTACCAAGTCCTTGAATCAAATATAAGAAAGAGATGAGGAACATGCTCTGAATTTGTAAAAAATATTATATAGATAGAAGCTTCGGAAGTTTAACCAATGGGGTAAAAGAGATAGCTTTCCTAATATTTATTTTGATTGGTTCATTAGTATTTTTGTCGATGGTGCTCTCTACCGGCTATTTCTACAACTACATACAACATTTAATAATAGATTTACATCATAGGAATTATTTTAACTATGGAAATGTGTATTTCCTGCCACGTGACGAAATTTGAATGAAACACGTAGCCATTGATTTATAGTACTAATTTTACTACATTCTATTTGTTTTACATAAAGAAGTTTATTTTTATCTATGTAAACCAAATTCTTGCTTATTAATAAAATATAAATAATATCATATAAAGTAATTAAAAAGATGTAAATGTTTGTTGAAAAATTTATTTATTCTTTTTTTTAAATTAATTCAAATTAAGATAATTTGAAGTATCGGAGGAATACTGTATCTGTTAACATAAGATTCAAAATATTTTTTTTTAAGAGATAAAGTTGTAAAACAAACAATATCTATGTTTGATGAGATGCGTTTTTAATGGACACACAAGTTAGTAACTTTATACAGAATATCTTTGGTCCTAAAATGAGTTCTCTCGCATCATTCACTCTCTCTCTTTTTCTCTCTTTCGTTCACATTAAGAGATTTTTTTTTTATTAGTAACATGCAATGGCAGAGATATTCAGTGACCTTTTCTTTAATTGTATAATAATAACAGATATGGATATTAATGTCTACATTCTATTTACAATATTTTAATAAAAGATTAATTTTAGAATTAATGATAATGTAAATACTATTAAAGGAAAAGATAAAACAATAAAGAGAAAAAAACAGAAAAGACATGGCATAGGTGAAAATTAAAAGGATAATATTTACAAATTCATTTTGAGTTAACAAAGATAGTAATATCTACCAGGTAGCACGAAAAATACAAATACAAATACAAAACTACTTTCAAGTCCTTCTCTTTAGAGACCTACGTTCGAGGCATGATGTGAAAGGAACACTATACTCTAGAATAATTTCAAAAAAATTAAACAGTGCCTAACTTATTTATAACCATTTTATGAATAATATATATATAGCCACAGAAAAAATTATCTTTTTCTATATGAAAACATGTTATGACAAAAATAAACAAATATGAAAAAAAAAGTATTAAACTAAAATGAATTCACAAATTGGTTATAGTAAAAATACTTAATTTAAGTGCACACTTCTTATATAAATAATAATAATATTCGTAAAAATGATATATGTGTGATATATATATTTATATATATATATATGTATATTGAAATAATCTAAACCGAATCTAATCGACAAATTAGGCTTATAACTCTGGCAACATATATATTTTCTTTCTTCTTATTTTTTGTTTGTTAATCATTTCTATAAATGTAACACATCAACGCGTTTTATGGAAATGTTAAAATTTGTACATTTATACAATTTAATTGAGTTTAGTGTATAAAAATTCATGCTGACTTGAGTTTAATGCTCAAGTATAATGCACTGAATAAGATCAAACGTATTAGAGAATCAAGACTAAATGAAAACGTTAATGTTTTATCACGATATGTCAATAAACGATATTTTTTTACCCTTTCATGATATTTCGATAATGTATGATCCAACAACGAGGATGACTGATTTTACAATGCGTGTGATAATATGATGGTATAATGATAATGATGATGATAATAGTAAAAATAAATATGTATATAAGAAATAGAATATGATCGAATAAACAATGGTCAGTCGAGAGGTAAATGAACGCGAGAATCGGCGGCCGCTAATTTGATGAGTGTTTTTTTCACTCGAAGAATAGGTAAGCGTGCAGCAGGCTTATAATGCCAACATTCTCTCATTAGTTTTCCCATTCCTGATAATGTCTGAAAAATATTTGTCCATTATATTTAGAGAAAGAAAGAAATAAAATTAATTGAATATAATGAATATAATATAAATAATCGTATTTACTGGATCGTAGTGCCATCTATTTGGTAAGGGTGGTCTACGTTGGTCAAGGCAAACCAATTTATGCATTTCTTCTATACTGGGCTCTTGATTACTGTAAGAGAGCCATTCGGAATAAGGGGCAGCATATTCCAAAGCAACTCCGTTACTTATACATCTACGACAAACTTCCCACAATATAAGGCCCAAACTATAGATATCCGCACATCTGAAGCTCTCTAAACATTCTACGTTTATTCTGAAATCGGACTTGAAGTTAAGATTTTGCTCACACACATAAACGTTTATATTGTATCTTTCAAGTAATAACTTACGTTTGTTCCATAACTTCAGGACTCATGTAACGTTTAGCGCCTTGTTTTAAATCCACTCTATCTGTAGTAAGTCGATCCTGAGTAACAGCTAATGCAAAGTCCGCAATAACACAGCCGCCATTCGTTTTAACAAGGATATTTTTAGATTTAAGATTACGATGGGACATCGCCGGTTTTCCTCTAGTTCCATGAATTTCCGTGTGTAAATAAAGTAAACCATTTGCTATGCTCAACGTAATATTCAAGGTTTGATGATGCGTTAATGGATGTGGCGAATGACTCAAATGATCGTAAAGCGAACCAAGTGGATGATAATGTGTTACTAGCCATAACTGAGTACAACTAGCCCTACTTGTCATATCGCTTCCAACATATCCTAAAATATTGTCATGTCTGGATGGTAATAATTGAGAATAGACTTCCGTTTCTCTAGCCCATGCAGCTTCGTCTCGTGAAAAGTAAATTTTCACAGCCACATTTTCACCATGCCAAATACCTCTCCACACTTCACCTCCAAATCCTCCATTACCTCCACTACCAAGACATTCGACTAATGCTACTTGCTTAGCAAGTGTGCGTTGTACCAATAATGGTAATCCTGAACCAGACCCACTGGTGAGACTTCGTCCATCCAAATATTCCTGTACGATTACAAACGATACCTTTAATAAAATGATATATAACAAAAAATTTTAACATTGAATATATATACATGTTAAACTATATAACACATACCTTAAGAGTACTATCACCCGCTGCAGTAGCTTGTAATTCATGTGCATGATAAGTTGTACTAGATACAGATGAAGGAGAAGAAAAGTGTAACATGGACGGTTCAAGTTCCGCATCTATAATTAATCTTTTGTGCCTTGAAGCCAAGGGACGTTTCCTACGAGTTTTACGAGCTATCACGCAGAAAAGAACACCTCCAGCAATAATCCCTAATCCTAGCATAGGCCCCAATATAGCCAATGTCAATTTAAATAGATAGTCCGATTCTGATTCTCCATCTATAGATTAATAAGACATAATAAATGTAGATTCTGCAATTGAACTTAATCAAACGATAATGTATATATCTTACCATCTATATAATCTTGCAATATAGGGAAAGAACCATTGTTACAGAGATCACTTTGACAGCACTCAACATAAATATGCGCACGTCCAGGCGATCTGCTAACATGCTTTTTTATGCCATTGTCATTTTTTATTTCTTTAGAAGATTGCTGTTTGTTACAAATAAATTGCATTTTATCGACATCTGCTACGCATCCTCTGCTAATACTTTCCTTCCCATCTGTGTCTCGTATTTTAGATTTCATACACTAATATATAAAAATATATATAATATATGTAAGAATACTTCAAACGATTTCTGTTTGTATATAAATCTTATAATAAGGAAATATTACAGTGATGGCATCATCACAGATTTTGGTCTGAGCGCAGTCTGGTTCATCGCAAGTAAGACATTTAAAACGACGTTCATTGATAGGATTAGTTCCAAAGTTAAGTCCTACAGGTTCATGAGATTCAGGTGCTTCTCTACTATCAAGTAGAGGATCGTCGTCCATTAAAGCTGTCTTTTGTCCTATTCATTAATAATATTTATATTATTTATTAGTTAGTTCTAACAAAAATATACTCTTGTTATAGAAATGTTGCTTTACAAAACAAATTTCTATTAAAAGTTTAGATTTCATAGTCAAGTACCTTATAAACAAATTGATATAGATATTTTAATTATTGCATTAAAATATGTAGATTAAAAAAGAAGTATGTTAAAGAATACGAAACATAAATAAATATTATTGAAAATAACTTCATACCTGAGCATAATTTGAATGTCAACAAGAGGATTAAGTTTATGATAAATATAGTATCCGCCATTTCTGTATGCGTCAAAACAGTGGACCACTCTAATCAGGTCACCACTAGTCTTAAACGTTTAGGTTACATCTTTTTTTATCTCATAAGACAATACGTTGCGTTTCCTCATATAATCTTCTTAAGTTTTAATAAGAAAATACTTCATTTCACTTTTTAATGTATAGTTTTTGTACACTGCCTCATGTATGCTCACCAGGGGAGCTAAATTTCATGTAGGCAATGTAGGAAAGTCAAAGATTTCTCTTATGCCTGATATACATTGAGCGCTTTTGTCGGCGACGATAACGCCCTCGGACGATAATATTTCCAATCACATACACACAATGTGACTATGCCATCTATAAATTATTACAAGAACTTCAAAGTACAGATCGATTAAGTACAAACTTTAGATCGATCGATAATTAGAAGTATTTTTTAAAGAAAACTCAATTTCAAATTTGACATCGATTAATTCATACAAAAGTTACATTTCATTTTATAATGTCCTTTTTATCTTATAATAACAATATAATTATATTTAAAAAATCTATTATTTCATATATATTACGAATGGTTATAATTGAATGTGTCCTGGAAAATAGATTTATGTTAAATTTTGTTGTTGCCTATATGACAAGTTTGCAGTATGGAAGCATAGGTCCTTTCAATGATTATAATGATTTCTATTGACTAAATTCGATGAAAAAAACTTTTAATTTTATCTATTTTTTTTAATACAAAAAAAAACAAAACACAAATTCAATTCGAAGAAGAAACAAGTTAAGAAAATATATAATATAAAACA